GTTCTGCAACGCTCAACTGCGGCGCAATCGCTTTGAGGGTATTAAAAAACGTCTGTATTCTTTGGAAAGTTTCTTCGATATGATCAGCTTGTGCATTCGTACTGGTGATCGTCATGGTTTTCTTTCGGCCTGTTTCAGTTAAACGACCGACCGAACTCAGTAGTAAGGGTCGGCTAGTGATAGCCTCCATGTGCTTGTCTGGATTGGCCAGCCGGGCAAAGATATTCCACCAGTTATATATCAGTGCAATGATTCGAGCGATGAATCGGCAGGGTTTGATATCTCTGGTCGTAAATCCACCCCAACCCCAGTGATTTTTTATCTCATCGAAGTTATTTTCACAGTCAGCTCTGTCTCGGTAATGCCGCACAATACTAAGCACTTCATCATCCAGGGAAGTTACCAACACCGCGTATTCAAAGACTCGGATATCTTCGGGGTCTTCCAGAAAACCAAACTTCTGTTGTCCGGTTTTGTTATCTGACAGTGCCAGCACCGATTCTTTTGATAGACGACGCCGAACAATAACAACGCGTCGATAGACCTTCCATGTGGAGAGCTTTAATTGGTCATCCCGTGCCTCCCAACCATCGATAATGTACGACCAGTTACCCAGGCTATGCGCCTTGTGGATCAACTGTTTCACGTATTTAGATTTTCTTAGTTTAAACAGGTAATCCAGTTTTTTTTGTTCTGCGGTTGTCATCACTTCATCGACACCCCAGTCACTATCCCCTCGGATAAATGCAGGCCACTGAGATCGCGGCAGTCGATCGAGCAATTCCCACAAACCGGGCGATGAATGGCTAGCGGCGGTGTCTGTACCAGGCTTGACTTCAACATCGAGAACTAGGCGAAGATTAGCAATCATATAGGTGTGATAAGTATGCGATGGCCGACCCGGTTTGTGTGGGTTGTAACCGATCGCCGCACCTTCCTGATGACCGTAAAGTGGTTTGACGGTCACGTCTGAATCGAGAATCCAGGGCTGGGTTAGTAACGGCTCGAAACTCCGTTGCAAATGGGTTTGTAACCACCGAACTCCTTTTTCTTCATCCATTTTTTTCAGCGCCCGGCGTGCCGAATCATCACTGACCACTTTTGACATACCGAGCATCTGGGTATTAACTCGATCCCCCGTCAAACTGGCCATGTGCGCATAGCGACTATGACCCGATAATATAGACAGCAAAAATGAACCCAGTACGTCGACTTTCTTTGGCGCGTTATTACTGTCGTAACGTAATGGACAACTGGATACCCAGGGCTCGAATAAACCGCCGATCTTCAAGAATTGAATAAAGAAAGGTAATTGCCCGATGGGCGTTACCGCAGCCGTCGGATCCCATTCAACATGAATCTTCCCACCAAAAGTTTCTGTCGCTAGCAGCAGGTTTTCGGAGGTCTTTGGGGCTGAATTTTCTTCACCCACTGGGTGAGCTATATTGTCCTTGTCTGACATGGGAATTACCTCAACGATTCAAAAGGTTACCCAATTCTCGCATCCTTTAAGGATAGTTCAACTGATTTTTCTAGGATAAAGTAGTCTCCCGATAAACCTTATAGTTTTTTTATAGACCAAAGAAGTAACGTCACCCAAGCTGAGGTCGTAAAGGATTGAGTATTATGCCGCGTTAAACTTATTGACATACTCGGTACGCACGTCGGCATACCATTGCGGCTCTTTTGGCCAGGGCCAGAGATTTGCCAGGGATTTGTATGGATAGACGCTGCCGAAAGTCTTGCCATAATCATCGCTAGCATACTGGTCAGCACCCAGAACAGCAGAGTTATAGCCATGGCCTTTGCCACCCCAGCTATCGTCTTTACCACCATCGATGGAGCGACCGCCAACTTCAGGCGTATAACAATAAGTCAGGAACTCATATACAGCATCCAGATTCTCGGCCTGTTTTGACAATGCCATGCCATCAATCCAGGCCAGAGCGCCTTCGACTGGCGCACGATATTGCACCGGATCGTCATTATTCATCATGCTTATTGGTGGGCCATCCCAGGTCTGTCCGACCACAACACCGTCATTCAACAACCCGTTCTTTTGTGAATCGGCGTCGTTCCAGAACAGCTTGACCTGCTTTTTGTTGGCAATACAAAAATCGGTGACCACCTGCCAGGTCTTGCGCATACCCGGCTCACCGTCGTAAGCCTTTTTCATTGCGCCCGGTTCAAGCTTGCCGATGGTTTCGAGATAGAGACCCGCACCCAGCATGCCGGAATGAACCCGCATCATAGTCTTACCTTTGACGTCACTCTGCCAGATATCACCGTAGCTAGGAATATCGCCAGCACGCGGTGGCGCCCATTGGTCGGTACGCCAGGCAATACCTTCTGTTCCCCAAATCATGGGCAACCAGTGCGAACCCTTAGCGCCAAAATTCCACTCATCATGACCAACCCGAAGCATTGCCGGGTTAGCATTTTTAATTGTGCTGATTTTGCTATAGTCAAATGGCTGCAATAGTTCTAGATTTTTCCACTGCGGTGAACGCATATTAGTCGGGCTACAGATGTCGATGCCGCGACCTTTAGAGGCCTTCATCTTGTTTATAATTTCTTCGTTGGAGTCAATGCCAGTAAAGTTGACCTTAATGCCACTGCTGGCTTCGAATGCTTTAAAGAAGCCCGCTGACAGGTAGTCGGACCACATCAAGACATTGATCTCTCCTGATGAGGCTAATACCTTGGAACTCACAATCCATGGGCCAACTGAGGCAGCCACACCTGCAGCGGTGCTGGCTTTAATAAATTTACGACGGCTCACTTCAGGGGGTTTTTTGATTACATCACTCATTAAAATAACCTCCTCGGTTTTCTAAGCGTAGATA